CCTAAATACGCAGCCTGGCATTGGTCGGCGTTGGCCGCTAGAGATCTGGAAGAGTATAGAGGACTAGGAGGGTACCTAAACTGTGTGAATGCAGCGCTCAATCTCTTGTTATCCTACGCTCTCTCGAAACGCGAGCGGCTAACGCCGATCGATTCCCTTCTGCGGCTGCATTCGCGTCTGTAGGATTGGAGCGTTTTGCTATTGTAGCGCGGCGACGCACGTTACTGCGCGCTACAGCGCGTCGACGCGCGCCATCGCGGAGCGTGAGCGCTCTCGAATGTGATCTCGGGATAGAAGGGATAGCGCTCCGCGCACGAGTGCTCATTCGCTTCCTTGAAGATCCCTACTAGATATAGCAATAAATCACATTGCAGGACAACCTATGCTTCTTCGTTGTCGAATCAAAGCCGTGCCTTCGGCTGTGATTGTTTGGTCGAAGGACGACATGAATGTCGAAGAATGGGTCATTAACAAAGACATCGTCACCCAGGTATTCCTCCTATATCTATAGCAACACAAGGTTATAAATTTAGGTGAATAGGCGGGGTACAGTACCCCAAAAACTGCGCGTGAAACTGTGCCAGGCCGTAAATGCACACAGGAAGAGGGCGCGAGATGCGGCCAGGGAGCGAGAACGCTGAACTGAACCGCCTTACGGTATGTCTGATTGCGTGCGTTCATGGCCTGATACATTTGGTTTCACGCGCAGTTCTTGAGGGTACTGTATCCCACCTCTCCTCCTAAACTTATAATATTGTTACTGCAAACTGGAGTCAAATAGAAATAGAACTATGGTCGTCTTCACCCTTCTAAGCTGCCCCTTTAGATACATCCGGACGGAACGTGTGAACTGATGAATCCCGAAGTTTATCCAGAAGATAGCGGTCTGTATAAGTGCACAGCCACTAATCCACATGGAACTGCTGAAACCGCTGCCTACATCAATATCCAAGGTGAGCTATCGAAAAATCTGACCTTTTTGTAAAGCAATCTAGGTATTTCAGCAGCAGCCGACTTCGCCAAAAGCACTGAGGATGCCTCTGCAAGTGGCGAATCAGCGATGTTGCCCGAAGAGCCACCAAAGTTTGTCGAGAAGTTGACCGCGGAAACAGACGGCGCCTATGATTTGAATTATGTTCGACTCATTTGTAGGGTTAAAAGGTACGAATAGTTATAGTAGGTCTGGTCTGATCATGATAATTGGGGCGAAAAAAATAGTAGTAGAAGAGATAATGTTGCGGGCCTGCAGGTACGAGTCCTAGCGGGGCCGCGAAAGTAGTGTGGCGTGTGGCGACTCATGACCCGGGTTTCATCAGGACCTAATTCATTTGGCATAGCTGGCTACGGTCCTGTTCCCTGCTGATGCTGGGCGTTTCAGTGGACTAGGTTTGCCGCGGTGCCAGTCCGTTCTCCTTATGGAAGAGGCCAACCTGCAATAACTGGAGGAAAACGGTCTGGAACCGCCCCAGATTACCCTTGACCCGTCATTCGCAGGTAACAAGACTGTAGTTTACACGAACTAAAGGTCACGTTCCTGACCTGTACCCCTCTAAGTTCACTGGGAATCAGAGAAAAGAAGGCGCCGTTGGGCAAGGGGGGGGGGGGGCGTGCATTTCTGTTCCTTTTGTTAGCTTCCGTTATCTAGCAGGTCTAGTATTGATGAAGAATGTAAACGCTTTGTGGGATGTTACGAAATGGTCGCAAAGTGACAGTTCACCTTACAAGTATTCACATGCTTCACCAGGATGATCTGTGTAGAGTCTTGTTGAGTACCATTCAAATGCCCCGCACCATGTCGGAGCCGCACGGCGAAGTTGTCATTGAAGTGGCTCAGCGCAGAGTTTGTGACGATTTGCAATGCCTCCCTCTCTTCACGCCCGGACCCCCTATTCCATACACAATCACCTGGTGGAAGAATGATGTGCAACTGATTTCTGGCGAGAAATACGAACTTCACGAGTTTTCCGATGGCGCTCTCATTCTGACGATTTATTCTCCGACACCTTCTGACAATGGTAATTTCTTTTCAAGACGCGTTCGGACTCATCTCATCCCTGAGGTGCATTATGAGGTGTCTTAATTGGGAATCGAGAGCCTAATGCAGAGTTAGTAATGTCTCTGTGATCTGGGGCAATCTCTTTCTAGGAGGCTTTGTCAGCGGTGGTACTAGACCTACAGTCATGATCTCTATAGATAGACGCTGTGAGCGGGATGTGCTTGGATAGCGCAGCCAGGGCAGCCTTTTCCACCAGTTTCTAAGCGGCCGGTAATGATATCCAAGGCACATCTCGGCTCTTGGGAGAATCTGGTGAAGAGAACTGGTCTGCCCGCACCGTTCAACACACCACTACAACATGCTCGCCATCTTGCAATTTTTTTTTTCGCTAAACTTTCCCGTTCAGAAAGGGGGAAGGGTAGGAACTAAACACTTTTGGTAAACGAGGGGTGTGTCACAGCGATGTAGGTGATGAGGGAAGTGAGCATTATTCTATAGAATAGAGAGATGATTTGAAGAAGCGTGTCAGATGTGGGGCGGTATGCTGACAAACAGACTGCGTAAGAGTAGTGGGGAAGGCGAGAGGGAAACTTTTCAGGGTTGGGAAGTAGAGACAAAGCTGAAGGGAATGTCGGGAGCGTTTTGAATGGGTTGCAAAAAAGCAAAAGAGACTGGACATTCTCAGAGGTGGGCAACCGGGTAGCAGAAAAACTAAAATCCAAAAGCAGATTTCAGTCGGTGAGATATTTGCTGGTCGTAGCAATCGGGGTCGCAGGTCGGATGTCAGAAGGGGCGGAATGACGTCTTTCTAGTTGGCCTTTTTCTTAGCTTACCGTGGATCGATTAGTGAAGATTTTGGGAGGAAAAGACACCATCAGGCATGAATTAGCGGGTGGGTTTTTTTCAATCCTTTCTGACCTGCTTCCGAATACGTTGCGACGATGTGCAGTGGTAACAGGGTGTGATTGGTTGGAAAATAGAAATAATTTCAGCGACCTAGCTCCTTGAAGAGTTATTCCGTGATTTTTTTGATGGACTAGCCATCTAAATTTATTAACGCAGTCAAGTCTGATCACTTAGGGCTTATATCACTTGAAGGCAGAATCAGCGAATGGTTCGAGCACTACCACCTGTGAAGTGACTGTCCCCGACAAGGACGGTTATCAAGGAGAAAATGAGTGAAACCCAGACGGACACGACGACATTCACCGAAGAAACAGTCGCGCAATAATTCATCGTTTGAAGTGATCAGGGCAAGGCAGACTTGCGTAGCAACCACAGAAATTACTAAGCACGAAGGAGGTTAGTGAAACCCTAACGACTCGATGATTCGCGCTGGAAATCTTATCACTTTCAGAAGAGTACAAACTGCTAGTGAAAGTTGCCGAGAATGTGGCCAGTGCCCTTGTTGCCAATGTATTTGTGGATGCTGTTCGGGAGGCTGTCAAGAGGATTATGGAAGAGGAAAGCGAGGAGGTAGGTGAAGTACTCATATAGAGAGGGATTCGTTCTTAGTTCTCCTGAATCCTAAGGGCAGACTGTACACTTACCTCCCTGTTCTGTAGAAGGGATGACAGAGATACTGACACGATTGTCGCTCGAAAGTGCGCGGAAATGGAGTTAAAGAGTAATGCTAGCTCGACGTTGTTGTGAGCTCCACCCTCGCTATCCTCAAGAATCTGCCCCGCCTTTACTAATGCCCGAAGATCTTCGCTCAAATAGGAAAGGAAACAGCTATGAGAGGGCGCTGACAATCATCGCGCTCGGCTACGGTTAGGCGTTAGGCGTGTGGCTGGCCAAGCGGTAACGCGGGGAATTCAGAAAAGCATGAAGCTATCACTTCCCTACAGCTTCCGCGCGCTTTCGAGTGATGAAAGTGTCATACTCCTGAAACCCCATCCCTTTCCCTTCGCACATGGCAAAGATCGAAATCCTCGAAGATGAGCGTACAGACTGTCTTCACCCTCAAAATCCATTTGTGACGCAGCTGATTAAGTGGGGGCAGCAAGTACTGAAGATGAGCTTTTCGATGAGAAACGACCGCTTAAAATAATGGCTTAAGTTTTCACGATTCAGCACGTGTGACATAGTTAGCTGCTTCGCTCGGTTTGTTGTAGCGCTCTAAAGCCAAACCGGCTGGTTCGTGGTACGAATGTCGCATACGCCATGTCACTTGGGTTACGCAATCGCCATGCACGTTACGTTGGCGAATCCCCAGGGGGATCGTATTTGGTCGGCGGAGAGAGGGAGGGAGGGGGAGGGGTGTGTTTGCCCCGAGAAATTCTTTTGTAGCTGATTCATCCTGTTTCACGCGTGCTATCTTCATCACTGGGAGAATCCCAGTAGAAGAGCGTTTGGGAACTTTCTAAAATTCCGAAGAAAATGGTGGAAGTAGGGAAAAGTCAGTAAAATGGCAAATGGGACGGGTTCGGGCGGGTCGCATCAGGATGACAGAGGAGGAGAATTGAGAAGAGGGGCGGCGAGGAAAGAAGGTGTTGTGTTTTCCGACAAATTTGCCCAGGCAGAGTTACCTCGGCTTCGGTCCTGTACGTCCTAGAGCTCACGCCG